CGGTGCCGAACACCGGACCACGTCCACCGCGTTCGGTTTCGTCGCGCTGATGTCGACCGTCGCTAGAGCACTGCGATTCATGTCGTAAACTTCGCTCTGTCGGACTTATAATACGTGCACTTCTATACGCGAACGCGTGTGTTCGATATTAGCGCGCTCGAGATGAAATGGACAGAAAAGTCATCGGAAACCGTTACTCGATTCGGTTGCCCGGCAAACAAACGAACGTCGTGTAAGTGAAAATCGGGTGGTCAAGACATTATTATTGGTCGGAAAAAAAACGGGTACGGTTTTGCCGTACGCTCGGACGACGGGTGTTCAAAAACGTGACGTCACGATATTCGCGGTCTTACGGTCCACGTCCCGCAGGTTCAAACCTATATATGTCCCAAGGTACGATCGCATACGTGCGCGAGTGCGTGACGCGTGATCGTCATTGAGCCCGCGGAACTCTCGGTAAAATATAATTAATTTATTCACGATTGTTCGGCTGGAAAACCATAACGCGTAGCACCGAAATCTTTCGCTGTTTCAATTCATAGGAAAGGTTTTTTTTTTTTTAGAAAAAATAAGAAAATGCCATCTGCTCGTACGATACAGGGTTTTAATTTTTTTTTTTTTTTTAATACATTATAAATATACAATGTATACGTAGTATACATAGTATACTCGTTTATGTAGTGTGTACGCACTGGGTAATACGTATATTTTATACAATTTTGTGAAAGGCACGTCATTTCTTCGCTATATCATTACTCGGTCAGCTAATAGAGGAAGTACTTACTGTACGGCAGTTAACGGTTGTACACCAGAACCGACGATCGAATGGGCTATCGCTTATACGCACGGAACGGCGTCCGACAAAGAACCCGATCGTAAAATAATTAAATCGTCGTATGGAAAGAAACCTGAGAGAGTGAGAGAAAGAGTGGACTGTATGGTTAGGTTTGGAAGTGATGTGGAGGGAGGTGGGGCAACCAACTAGAGTAATAAATAATGAATATAACAATTGCAAATTATATTAGATGATTGTAAAACAGAAGACAATATATATCATGAACTTATAGACTAAGTGAGTCGACCACATG